GCTATTGAGAATAGCTAAAGTCTTTACAAAACTTGACTTGCGCTGAGCTTACAACTCGGTATGAATTCCTGAAGGGGATAAGTGGGAAACAACCTTTCGCACTCAATTCGGTCATTGAGTAGTTAGTCATGCCCTTTGGATTGTGTAATGCATTGACCACTCTGCTGTCTAACAGACTGTATGCAAAGGCTAAAAAAAATAGGATCCATTTAAAAAACAAAAAACAAATCAATTTCTAGGACTTATTACTAATCTCTAGCATCTCTATGAACTCCCAGAAAGCCAATTCTATCCACGAATGGTCTGCGCCGACAAATTCTGCATTCTTTCCATCATTTTTTTTTTCCCAACACGAGGCTTAATTCTTCTGATCTGACAGTCCAAGAAAATATTAAATTCTTATAGCTGAATAATAGGATACTACAGGAAGCCATTATAAAGGCTCAACAGGAAAGTCCTTGGACAAGAAAGAAAAGGAGAGGAGACCTAAATTTCAAGTCGGCAGACATTTGGCTGTTAGCTGCTAACCTAATCCTGAAACATCCATCTAAGAAATTAGGGCTTAGATATACACCAGGCAGCCATAACTTTAGGACCACTAAGTAAATAAAGTTGATTATCCCGTTACAATCTGAAAGTTGGTGGGATATATTAGGCAGCAAGAAAAAACAGGTTGTCCCTGAAGTTGATGTGTTGAACGCGGAAAACATGGGCATCACAGTTTGCTGTGTTTGGGGCTGTGTAGCTGCAGACTTGTAAAGACTCCCATGCTGACCTGTGTCTACAGCCAAAAGTACCAACAATGGTCACGTGAACATCAGAACTGGATCATGGAGCAATGGAAGAAGGTGGTCTTGTCCAGTGAATCACATTGTCTTTTACATCATGTGAAAGACCAGGATGTATCAATTACTAGGGGAAGAAATGGCACCAGGATGCAGTATGGGAAGACGGCAAGCTGACCTAGCGATTTGGGTTGCTTTAGGCCTTGGTTCTGCCATTCACGTGGATGTTACTTGATACGTACCACCTACCTAACTAAACATTGTTGCTGACCAAGTAGACCCCTTTATGGAAACTATTCCCCAATTGCAGTGCCCTCTTTCAGCAGGATAATGTGCTTTGCCATGCTACAAAAATGGTTCAAGAATGGTTTGAGGAACACAATGGGTTTGAAGTTTTGAAATGGTCTTCAAATTCTCCAGATTTCAATCCAATTGAGCATCTGTGGCATGTGCCAGATACCACAGCATCTTTCAGAGGTCTAGTGGCATCTGTGCATTGACTGGTCAAGGCTGTTTGGTGGCAGAAGACCTACTTAATATTAGGTGGGATGTCAAAGTTATGCCATATCAGTATGTAGAACTATTTGCTGTTAAAATAATATTCCAGCAGCTTAGGAACTTTTACTCCTGAATCATACAAGATTCATCCAGTCTTTCCTGTATCTTTGTTAAGCTTGATACAGCACCTACAGTGATCAATGACAATGAAGTATATGAAGTCAATACAATTTTGGACTGCAAGAAAAAGGAGAGGTCGCATTAAGTATTTAAAAGGGAAAAGCTGTGGTCCAGAAAATAATTCCTATGACCTGGAGGACCAAAGTACAAGGGTTGGACAAAACTATGGAAACAGAGGGTAAAGAACAAAATTGTTACCCAACGTGGTGTTGGACTGTCTTGGATGGTGGATAATGGAATCCGATACTACACTTCATGCAAAAACCGTTCAAGCTCTCGCAGAGATGCCAGAGGCAAAAAACGAACCAGAACCTTGTTCTCCAAAATTGGGAAGGTGCGAGACCTTGTCTGCATGCTCATCAAACCACAATCTGACAGTCCCAGCTGTGGGAATAGCAGCATTATCTTCTTGGTAAATGGCGACGTCAAACAATGTTTGTACCATGGGGTGCCCATAGTCAGCCACAATTTGTACATAGTCGCTGGAAGTGACTACCTTTCAAGGTGATGATGGGGCCTGCAAAACACCAAGATAAAGCTGCCCAAACCATGATTGTGCCACCATCATGCTATACTGTTGCCACAAGATAGCCCTGGTCATAATCTTGGGACAGTGTTTGCCACACGTAAACACCTCCTCTGGTTGGGAACAGTCTGTAACTCGATTCGCTGGACCATATTACAGTCTTCTATTGATCGATAGTCCACGATTTATGGGTTTTGTACTGCTCTCCTTTTTCTGAGCATTAATCAGTCACTAGTGGTTTGGCAATTGCAGCTTGCCCATGTAATATGGTGCTGTACCCGCGACACAGCAAATTGGCAACTTCATTCACAGAGGCACCAGCTAAACAGGCACCAATTTCCCCTCAGTAAGCTCTGATATATCTCCGTATTACTAGCAGCGCACGCAGTGAATAACAAAAGAGAGGCTTCCCACCTGTTAGCTAGGTGTTCCATCACACAGTGAAAGCAAAAGAATGTTGCATCTCTTCCACTTTCAAAGCAAAACATGTCATCACTTTCACACCTGCAAATCATGTAGTGTTTACATATTTTTGTCTTCTGAATATTGCATAAGGCTGATACATTGTTTTCAGTCACATCCTGAGAAAATGACCCAGGCTGGCATCCGGAGACTGTCTATTGGGAGAAAGCAATGTAAAGAAGGTCCATGTGTTCCACTACGAGAAGACCAGCACAGTACCACATTTTAGCATGAATGCGTACATAGTAGCATGCACACAAAGCACTAGTAATGGCACCAAAGAGCCTAAATAGCCTTAAGTATAAAATAAGATTGACTGCTGGGTGGTATTCAGCTTGAATCCAATTTACCGGTGATCTGACCCACTACAGCTGTGTCTGTGACCTGGCTTGCCTTTGACCAGTCTCTTGATCCTTGTCAGCCTGTTTGCAACTTTGGCTTGTGTCTTGGACTCAACTTTCTGTCTTCTGATTTTGTACTGTGCTGCACGCTTATTAACGGACTTCAGCCTGTATACAGACACTACATCCATTTGTGTTCCTGTACATTGCTGCCCAGCTGTTAGAAAACAATAACTCAGAAGGACCTGATTCCCCCAAACACATCAGGTATGTGGTTGGTGGGATTCGGCTCTTTTTAATTAATGTATAGCCTGCCTTAATCAAGACAACTGCAGAACAGGAGAGGTCAAAATGCTGACAGTGATTGGTCAAATGCCATAACCAATTGGTCACTAGAGTCCATTGTACAAAAAAACAATAAAATTGGAGACATCAGGATTACTCAGACCTCAAAAATGCAGGAAGCTGTCAAAAGGCTGTCTGTAACTTGGTCACCATAGACTGCAGGACAGCTGAATCTGCTGCCTAGAGAATGTCCAGGAATTGCATGACGTAGCTGGAGAACAGCAAGAATAGAATACAGGGAAGCACTTGATCGGTGCAGCACTGGGGAGGTGAGAAGAATATCCACTTCAAATGTCACGGTCCATAGATGAAAGCAAAAAACTGTTCATCACTCAATTCACTGTGGTGCAGCACATGTGGGATGCACAAAAAAAAGAGAACAAATGCAGTCTTACAGTGCCCCACCATATTTAAAGTGATGCAGGACCATCTGTGAACCTCTGCAGAGCTGACCTCAGGGGGGGGGAAAAAAAAAAAAAAAAAAAAAGGAAAAACCCTACTCACCGGTGATGGTCTGGGTGTGTAACTAACAGCCCCCATGAAGGATCCCAGAAAGAGTTCATCCTCCCCGTGGGCACACTCTGAAGGGGTCTTCAGGGACAGGCCACAGCCCTGGACCTATATGGCACCCTGCGGCTAGCTCAAAACAATGCACCACATGTCAAGATGAGAATACACAGTGGTCCTACATCATCTTGGCAGGGCCCAGTTCCTCAAAGGATCAGCTGAGTCAATCGATCTAGGAAGATGCTGAAAGAGAGCCTCAGTGGCTATGGAGCAGCTAGGAATCTTGATGGAAGAATTTGAAACCTTTGCATACCAGAAGAAAGCTTATCTCATTAGACAGACTTCAAGCAAAAAGTGAGGTAGTGGGAGGAGTTATATGGTGGTGTGCCTGGTTTTGTTTTTTTGCCAGCATCCAAGTACTTAAAGGTGGAAGCATATAACCAAGGGTTAAGACTAAAGTCCTGTGTCTGGAATTATTAAGGCGTACCTAAACCCAAAACCCTAACATACTGCAAATTAACACGCCTTAGATGTTGTGACTACACTGGCTTTTAAGGGTTTTAAAGTAAATGCAATAGCACTGTAAGCACTTTTGCTGCACAGTTCAATCTTTGTAAAGGAAGCTGAATAACAGCAGACTCAACATTCAAAAAAACAAAACCAACCCCCCCCCCCTCCAAAAAAAAAAAAAAGTTCAGGGGGGACTCAGAAAAAGACTCTTTTTTAATGCTAGTGATTTCCATACATTTCGTTTTTGATTTTGTCTGAAGTACTACTTTAAGAAACTATTTACAAAATTCGAATATCAAACAAAAAAATGGTCTGTTCCTCACATCTACTTTCGAGCACTTGTCTGTAACTTATGAAAATCCCTTCAAAGAAAAATGTTCTTACAAATACTATGCTACTTATGTTGTACTACCCAGTGTTGTACAGTGTTAGAACAATGATCGGAATGATATATTGAAATTAAGTGCATTAAATATGATATATTAATGTAGGACTATATTGGATACCAATTTTATAGACTGTTTAATCGCTACTTGTGGAATCAGGAGGGAAAGCAAATTACTGTACATAGAAAAAGAAAGGGGCAATAAGACCCTTGCATCCATGTTTCCTCTCCAAGTATCTTAACTGAGGGTGTACAATTGCAGTGCTGTTCCCAAAGTTTTCTGGCCAAGGATAACCACTATAACTTCTCACCGATCACAGAGCAGAATACATACTTCCAAAATATTTATACTGAATAGATATAGATATGTACAGCAAAACGCTGGAATTTTTTTTTAAAGTACGATATTTTAGTTTGAATGGCTTAGAACACACTTTAGACTTTTCTTTCATTTTGCTTACTTTAAGCTCCTCTTCCATTTCAGATATTCGTCTCTCCAAAGCTCTTCTTTCCTAAAGAGAACAGCAGATATATACATAAAGTAAGTAGGTGGTCCAGATGAAGATGTATAAAACATTAACTACAGTAAGAGTTAGCTGTCTGTCGTCCATAGAATAAGTGGTCTTTCTATATTGGTATTAAATTCTTAGAACCTGTGTTTTCAACTGGTTTGTCTTAAAATTTAAGATTTTGCAGCAAGCTTTAAGACTCATTTGGCACTTACACACTCTACCCCTACTTACAAAGTTTAAAAAGGAGTGTATACACCTTTTATTTCCCACTTGAAGCAACATGACCAAGGCAGTAGTAACTGCCATAAAAAAAAAAAAAAAAAAAAAAAAAAAAAAGTGTCATGGATAAAAATATTTAGAAAATTCAAATACAGCTTTAAAGTGGTTCTAAAAGGCAAAAGTATTTTTTTTACCTTAATGCATTCTCTGCATTTGGGTTAAAAAAAAAAAAACCTTTCAAAATCTGCTCCCCCCAGCACACCTTTAAACACTTACCAGAGCCAAATTCCAATCCAGTACTCTCTGCCCGTCTATAGCAGTTCTTTTTCCCTTCTTTTCTCTCACAGGAGACTCAGTCATTGACTCACGCTACTGTCAGTCAAATCTTGTGAGGGAGAGTGGGCTGACAAAAGACATGGCCAGAAGAGATTCGGGGTCACCCTATGCAAACTCATTGCACAGAGCAGCTTGAACCCCAAAGCACTCACAGATGAAGATACTGACACCCTCAGGACAGAGGTCAGGCAAACCCCTACATTCACAAACCATTTGGACAACTCTCAATATATACTGCTTTTCAGGAAGCAAGCAGAAGGTGCCAGTTCCATCAATGAATAAATTAGATATTGAAAATTTCAAGTTTATCTTCTATATATTTACAGGGTCAGTCCACAGTGAATTAATACTTTTTTTTTAAATAAATGTCTGAGGATTAGATAAGTTTGGGGGGGGGGTTCATACTCGTTAAAGATAGTTATTTAGAGGTTGTATAATAAATTACCATATCACCCAGTAGATGGCCTCCATTCAGTAGCCAAAAAAGGCATGCACAAAAAGGGGGGTTGTGAAAAGAAATTCACAGAGAAAAGTGGCTACATTATGAACAGAGTGTGACAATCAGAAAAATTTCCAAAAATTATGCTTTATTACATATACAAGTTTGACATTTGGGCAATCGCCCTGGTTTACCATCACCTCAGTATGAGACAATACACACAGACCTAAAACCATATAAAATGACACCAAGACCGGTCCAAATACTTGTGCAACAAAGACAGTGACTACTAGAGCCTAAAGTCTTTGTAGCACTGGCTCACAGGTGAACACTTCCCACAGGAGGTGTATGCAAAAATTATACCATAGGTATACCATGTAACATGTTGTAAACATGTAGACATATGCTACTACCAAAATGGTTATATCCCAAGCAGGGAGTGTCAAAACATTACACTATAGATATAAAATATCACATGTATGCAGTGCAGCAAGCACAGTATGCGTCAAAAAGAGAAGCATGCCTCTAGGCCTATAAGAGACAAAAAGTAAATGTCATATATAAAATGCAGTACACTCCTATGCCGGCACATGTGGTTGGGGCCCATTCATCTGTAATATAAGCGACTGTTTCCTTAGGGCTCTTAAATGAGAATAAGCCCCATTTGTTACCAGGGTGGAAGGATAGATGCAAATAGCAGAGCACTGCTTGAAATGGTTTCTTCACCACTATATGTGGACTACACACCACTTTCTGTAAGGAAAACAAGACAAATCCCAATAAATCTTCTGCCTGTTGAGATACACATGGTATATCCTGTTTCCTATGAAAAGCACCATGATGTCCCCATCCTGTAGTGAAACAAACAATATGTGGAAAGTCACTGGAAGAGCTTTACTCTATATAAGATGTATAGGTTATATCGATCACTGAGGACCATATAACTAATGTCCTGTAACAGTCCACTCACCACCTGCGCAATAGATAGTAGGAGAGGAGAAGATGTCCTTCATAGGTACTGCCTTACAAGGCCAGAGAGGCCAGGGAACAACCGCTGACATCAGCCGATATACCGCGGTTCCAGCCTCTTCTCGGCGCCTGTGCTGCTTAAGCCTGCCTCGTGGCATGTGAAGATGGCTTCCTCCTTGTAGGTCAGCGTGCGTTCCACCTAGTGCGCATGACCGGAAGCGACGTATCTGACATATGACGTCCACGCGTTTCGCCGATGGGCGTATCTCACTCAGCTTCGTCAGGACCAATGAGATTCCTGCATTACAATTTTCTATTTATAGTGGGTTAAAACCCACCCATTTATGCAAAAATTAAATTGCGGTTATTCCCATTGGAAGAAAAAAAGGGGGCTAAATACTTAGCACAGCTGCTGGTCATTATTAAATTCAATTAAAAGAACAAGCGACTGGAAATATCAAAGAGAGGAAAGGCTTGGCAATTTCAACAATGCATACACAAATCAAAAAAACCATAAATGTATATACTAATCACTTGGAAAATTACCATACTTTCACCAAGAGATGGCGATGTTTAGTGAAGGAATTACCAGGCCTATTCATTAAATGAACAGTTCCTAAAAGTACAGTATGAATTACCACAAAGCCACCACAAGATGGCAATGTTAATTAACGAATCTCGCTATGGATTATATTGCCAAAGATACCTAGACTTCAAATACCCATTTAATGGTATCATTATTATTGAGAGGGAAGGGAATAGTTAGCTCAACAGTCGGTCCTTTTACATTTTTAGACCTATATTCAGGTTTATACCAGCAGATCATCAATATTTCCCAGATGCCAAAAGGTTTGCCTTCATTCTTTGACATATAATTCACCCATTAGTGAAGACAGAAAAAATGCCATAGATCAACTGACGCATGGCAATATAAGGATACATAACTATGTAAATCTATTTATCCAAAAATACTTGGAGATCACATTCCACATTTAACCCCTTTGGGTACATTGTATCAAGTTTATATATCCAATATTTCTCCTTTTTTAGCAGTTCTCTGTCAAAATCACCTCTCCTTTGAGGAAAGTGCAATGCATAGAAACCTTTCACTTTTGTGCCATCCAATTTACCTCCATGATATTTAGCATAATGTTGAGCAAGATTGCTTTCAGGATCATTTGATCTAATATCTCTAAGATGTTCACCTATTCGTACTTTAAGTTGTCTTTTGGTCTTACCAATATACATCTTTTTACATGGACAGGTCAAAATATATAGCACTCTCACTGTGGAGCAATTTATAAGACTTTGAATTTTATAGTGAGTGTTATTTCCTGAGTCATAAAAGGAATCCGTGCGGTCCACATATTTACAAATTTGACATTTTCCACATTTAAACATCCCCTTAGTACGTGATTTCAACCATGTTGTTTGTTTTAACGGTTGATAGTCAGAATGAATAAGGAGATCACCAAGATTTGGTGCTCTTCTAGCTACCATTTGAGGGCGTTCACCTACAATCTTATTCAATTTGGGACATTGAGTTAAAATCTTCCAATGCTTTTCTAATATTTGTTTTACATCTTGCCATTGGGCTCCAAATTGGGTTATCATTCTGACAGGTTGCTCACTTAATTTAACCTTCTCATCCTTTTTAGGAGATAATAGATCCTTACGGTCAGTTTGATATGCCCGTCTCCGAGCCTTTCTAATTTGAGAGTGAGAATATCCCCTTTCCCTAAATCTTCTATAGAGGTCCTGGGCCTCCATCCTAAAGTCATTAATGTTCGAACAATTTCTCCGACATCTCAAAAACTGTCCCACTGGAATCCCTGAAATCAGTGAACGTGGGTGGTAGCTTCTGGCCTCTAGTAGGGTGTTGGCAGCAGTTGGTTTCCGATAAGTTTTTGTGAGGAGTCTTCCGTCTTCAAGTCTAATTTCCAAGTCCAGAAAGGAAATACACCTTTCATCAGATAAATATGTAAGTCCAATGTTAAAGGAGTTTTGATTTAACTCCTCCATGAATAGTTTTAATTCCTCAGATGTTCCTCTCCATACAAGGAACACATCATCTATATATCTTAACCAAATCTGGACATTAACAAGAAACCTTGATGATCTGAAGACAACCTGCTCCTCCCAGAAACCCACATGTAGACATGCGTAGGCCGGGGCCCACGGTGCTCCCATACTAGTACCTTTAGTCTGTTGGTAAAAGGTATTATTAAATTGAAAAAAGTTATGTCGTAATGCAAAGTCCAACAACTCACTAATAAATTCATTCTGTCCTCCTAAAGTAGGATATGTTTTATCAAGGAAGTAAGAAGCCGATCTCACACCACATTCATGTGGGATAGAAGTGTAAAGTGATTCCACATCTATTCCCACTAGAATGGAATTTTCATTAATAATCATATTTTCAATCTTGGCCAACACATCTTTAGTATCTCTTACATAAGAGGGGAGATTAGGAACCATATCTTTGAGAAACAGATCTATATATTTCCCTGTTTTATCTAAGGGACCATTAATGGCAGAGACAATCGGTCTACCCGGAGGATTTTCTTGATTTTTATGTATTTTAGGGATAATATAAAAGGTAGGATAGTTAAATTCTTCAGTTCTCAGATATTCATACTCTTTTTTGGTTAACAAACCCACTTCTTTTCCTAATGTTAAGATGGAATTTAATTTTTTTGCCACCACATGAAAAGGATTAGTGGCTACTTTCCTATATGTAGATGGATCACTTAATAGGCGCTTCACCTCTTTAACGTAGTTTTGTTCATTTAAAATAACTACATTACCCCCTTTGTCACTTCTCTTAATTACAATATTCTTAGTCTCTTTTTAATTCTTTGAGGGCTTTTCTTTCTTTTTTTGTAAGATTATCACCAATTGGCATTTTCCACTCAAGATTTTTAAGATCATCAGCAACAAAATCTAGAAATGTCGAAATCCTCATGTTGGAACGTATTTTCGGCATTTTTGTCGATCTAATATTCAGATCAACTTTTCTAATCACATTACTGTGATT